TTGAAGTGGCAAATTTTCTCCCCATGTGTATTCTGCAAGGAGCTGTCCATGGAGTGCTCATGGTGCCGATGAGGAAGATTAGCCTTGTCAGGTCTCAGAGAATAAGCTGCTGTGCCAGGAAATGGCTGGGCTCCCCTGAATCTCCAGGCCAGGCAAACAAATGTGAGGAGCAGTGGTGGAAGGGAAGGAGCGAGTCTCGTTTATTGTTACAGGGTGGCCATAGTGTTTGGGTACCCAAGTCCAACCCTCTCCAAATGGCACCAGGGCTCACTGGCTTCCTGTAACTGTCCAACACGACACATAATATACTTGCTTAGGAGCTCAGAGAGGGAACCCACAATGCATAGCTCACTCCCTCACACATGCATGGAGAAATATTATGTTCCCAATTCCTGTGACATCACAGGGCCCGAGATATAATGAGGGGATGGGGAAGATAATCCTGTGTCAGCCCCTGACAAACAAGACACTTCAAAACCATTCCGGAAAAAATTCTTTTATTGGTTTTGGAAAAGAGGCTAAATGGGTATCCTCAGCGGAGACAACGGCCTGGTTGAGCTCCAGCAGGACACCTGTCTTTTGCTCCCTCGCATCCTCCTAGGGAAGAGGAAGCTTCGGGCCCTGCAAGAGAAAGAAAGAGAAAAAACAATTAAGGGGGCGAGCTCGTCCACTGCCGTCAACCGGCTTCAACCCAGGTGTATCTACCAACCAAAGTTCTGGCAACTTCATCCCAAAGTTCCGTCTGCCAACATCCACTGGCTTCCACCAGCGAATATCCACCCATTCATCTCTTCCACTCTGTTTCTGAAACCAGCCTCCGGCAGCTCCCAAATGCTTGGGTCACATTCACACCCCAGCAACATCCCCACGAAACGCCAGCCAGCCCATTCACACACACATTGATACACATACAGGCACAAACCAGCCGCTCCGCTCCGCCCCGACACACACATACCTTCACTCCACCAGCCATTCACATATCCATCCAAGCTTTCGCCAGCTGGTTTCAGGAGGTTAACGTCCACCACCGGCTTCATCCCCAGGTCCATCGCCAACATCAGCCAGCTTCAAGCCACGGATCTCCGCCAGCCTCGAGCTGTTAACTCGTACGCCCACTTAGCAAGTTCCTCTGCTTTCGGGAGAGAACTTGCCTTGGGCAGAAGGGCTGGATCACCTACAGCCACTGCCACTCCCTCTGCCCTCTGAACACTGGCCTCCCTCCTGGTCTCCTGCCCTGCCCAGCAAGCCCCTTTTATCTGCCAGCAGAGAGGTGGGGCCCCTGTGAGGTCACAAAGACCCAGGAGAAAAGGGGTTGGGTTCCCATGGCAGCAGCAGCAGCACCCTTGGGATTGGCTGAGTCCTGAAGATGATGTCAACAGTCCCTCTGATCATGTGATTCACCCACAAAAGCTTGCATTTTGCATAATTTTTTAAAAATTTAATTAGTGGCCTATAAATGTATCCCCTGTCACCAATCCTTCTGATTGTTAAATCTCCCCATGTTGGCCTTCTGACAGGATTCTAGGCTTGTGCTTCCAGCATTTGCACCAAAAGGAACTTTTGTGGGATTGGGATTGGAAGACCAATAAGTATTTATTTGTTAATATTGCTCATAGGAAAAAACAAACAAACAAGCATTTAACCCTTTCAGTGGAGGAGCAGTTGTTTTTCCTAAACTAAAACCTCGGCATTCCGGTTTTAATTGCAGTATTGGCACTCTGAAATAAATAAGTTGATTTTGTGTTGCAGCTTGGGCACTTGGGCTCAAAAAGGTTCACTATCACTGTCCTAGGAGATAATTAGGCTAAACGCTCCCCTATTTTTATACCCCAAATGCCAGTTTCTGGAACCCTCCAGAAGATCTGCCAATCAGGAATTGAGTTTCCCCAAACTTTCACAAAGAAGAGAGCAACTTCTTCCCCTTCACACCTCAGGAATCATTCTGCTATTAACTCTGTACCAAGAAGTGAGCTCTGTCTGGCCTTGAAGCTTCTTTTCTCACAGCTTCTGTCTGCCAACGTCCACCGACATGGAAGGCAAAAGTGTTTGCTGCCTTCCAATTACCAGTGGACATTTCCCCCTCCTTCTCCCAGTCAGCTTATCTTAGGCACAAACTACAAAGCCTGGTTTTCTAGAAGAGCAACAGAAATAGAGATGGGCATGAACCGCTGAACCAGCAGTTTGTGCCAGTTTGCTTTTTGGCCGAACAGGTGTTTGGCATTTCCGAGCTCCACCTCCTCTGGCAGGTGCCCAATCAGAGGCAGTGCTCTGGCTCCTCTGTCATGCCTCTGAGTGGGTGCCCACTGAAGGGGGCAGGACTTGAAAGCACCAGAAAAAAAAGGTTTGGCTAAAAAAATATAGAAGCACTTAGAGAATGTACTAGAAACCTTACTTTTTCCATCTGGGATTTCAGGAGGGGAGGTGGACATGTAAGAAGAGGATAGGTTGATATTAAGGAAGAGGGGACTCCTGAGGATCCTTCCTAGAAGTTCAACAACAACAGTTTTCTACAATCAAAATGATTCTAAGATATCACTGAATAATACAAAAACAAGTACTGTAATATGGGATTCAAGTTCCATTCTTCAAGAGAAGAAAACCATTGACAAAGAATCAATGGCATTTATCCTTCATATACAGATAATATAAAACTGTACTAAGACCTATGAGTTTTCTTGAATAGGCCTGAAGCATTGATATAAATTTGAGACGGAAGTCCATGGCTACTTCTGCTCTTATCACCTTAGAAGTATGTGAGGTCCAAAAGGAACAAAATGTCTTTCTCAAAGCAAAATATTTATGCACAGAGAAGAAAAAGAACGTTTAAGTTTACATGTCACTGTAACCAGATACAAGACTTATTTTAACACCCAGTTAAAAAGATTACCCACTGGAGGGAATGTTTCAAGTGCTGGAAGTTTACAGGCTTCAACATGAGATAAAAGAATTTAGAAAGAGAAATTAGATGAACTGCTAACGTTTAGTACTTAATATGCACTATGGAAAATTTAAAAGGAAATCAACATTTTTAAAAGGAGATATTTAATTTTACAATTGGTTGCATTGGCAGTATATTAAAGGTTGGGTGGTCTTTTGCTCTTCTGATATTTGACTATTAACACTGAATGCATTCATTTTTCCATCACACTATTCAGAGCTAAAGGAAATTTGCCAGCGAAATAAAACACAATATAGCACCCAAACACCATTAAAACCAAAATTCTAAAATAACAGGTAATATTAAATTATTATAAAACAATCAGCAAAGTTCAACAGTTAAATGAATGAAGGACTTGCTTCCTGGGATGAGAAGGGGGTGCCTAAAACCTAGTAACAAATGTCTTTCAAGGTCTCTTCATAGTACATTGGGTATTAATTTAATAAAGCAGGGAAGGGTAATAGTAGTTGAGTTGTATAACATACACTGTGCAGCATGCAGAAATCACAGTTTCAGTCCCTAATATGCTAACTGGAAACAACTCCTGTCCAAAAGGTGGGAGAGATATTGCTACTTAGTACAAATTATGGCATTTCACCTTTTTGCTATGCAGTCCTAAATGTGTGCTGAATATAAACTTCATAACTGCTTTGATATAGCCACAATGACATGCATACATTCATCCTTTCATACATTTCTGCTTCATTCTCTCTCTCATGTATACAGAAAGCACTTGTTTTAAAATTCTCTCATTGTTGAGATAGAAAAGGAAAGATCCTTTGCAATAGGAAAGGGAAGAGCAAGTGGTGAGCCAGCTTATGGGCCACTGTGCATCATTCTCTTTTGCAATTACATAAAATTTTGTGGTGAGGAATGCAGTGGCACCAGGGAAAACAACAACTTCTTTTGACAGTCTTTAAGGGTTGTAAGATTGCCAACATGTTTGTTGAAATCCTACTGGTATTTAGGTAAGTTTTGCACAACTTTAGACAGCTAAATGGAACTAACTGACAAAGTGCTGGGGTGTTTCTCAGCTGTGCAACTGAACATGCAACTAGATGTGCAACTGAGAAAAACTCCAGCAATTTGTCAATTAGCTGCAGTTGGCGACATAAAGTTATGCAAACCTTACATGAACATAAATAGGATTCTGGCTGTGGTGTACATACTACTTGGCTAAATGGACAAATAGCAAGTGAAATGCAATTAATCTTCAGTCCTTTTAAAATTTGTATAAAACCCAGAAACAAACCCATCTCTACTGGATCAATATTTTCCCCACCCTGCGGGTACAGATTAAAAAAAAAGTAAACTGTAAATATATATTGTCAAACGGCAATGGGCAACAGAAAGCCCAGTCTGTTAAAATAGTACAGAAAGATTAAGTGTATCCATAGAAAAAAATATAGTGATCATTCCTAACCATAACAAAAGGCAGTTTTCCTGTGTTAGTACCTGTAGCAAGAGAAGAATATAATAATTGATAATGAAATACTATATAAATGAGAGATGAATGTGTTAGAAAGAAAAGATAACTGGAATTAGATTACTGTATGAGTCACTGGTTTTCTCATTAGTGCATACTGAAAGTATTCCACCACAAAAATGGGGATTAGTTTTGTATATGATAGCAGCTGTGCATAATGTGACTGTAAGACCCTCACTGGATCAGACTGTCAGTCTGTCTAGTTCAGCATTTTGTTCCTCCAGTGGTCCAGCAAGTGCCATCAGAAGTCCATGAAAAGGATGTGAGGGGACCGGCTTCCATTTGTGCTTTGGTCATTACTAGAAATGGTCAAAACTACAACCCTTCAGTGAGCAGAACATAACTGTAGTAGTTGCTGAACTTGCAAGCTATCTGCAGCTACAAAATGATAATCTTCACTCCCCAAGTGACCCCTATTGTTGGAGGGGAGAGAGATTGCTCTTCTCAAATGACAGTACAACATCTTGTTTTTGATTTATAGCCATATTTATTTTATTTTTTAAAGGCCCGCTTGTTTTTGATTTATAGCCATATTTATTTGGTGTTTTTTTTTAAAGGCCCGTGTTAGGATATATTAAAGATGTGGCCTGTTTTACTTTGGCATGAACATTGGTGGACTGCATCCCACTTCACCCTTCTGTTGCAGCAGAAACAAGCAATGTGAAGTCCTGGGGCACTTTAAAGAGCCGCGCATTTCCTCAGAGAAGCTCTTGTGTAGGATTACAGGGTGAATGTGTGTGAAAGAAGACCTCTCATGGTTACAGTGGGTGTGGGTTGTGTGCTTGTGCAGAGGAAGGAACTGTCAAAGGGGGATGATACCAGCCCCAGCTGTTCCTTCTTCCTCCAAAGAGTCGGTGGAGAAGTGTCCCGTGCGAAAGCGAGAAGGGCGTTAAGTGCGGCTGAGCTGGTGGTGTGTGGTGCGTGGTGCGTATGTGTGCGGGGGAG